CATCATTGTCAAACTGACTGAAATATAAATCATGATAGTTAGAAGGTCATGTAAGGCAACCACTCAAGTGGATTTCATCATGCAGTACATGTATTGATGAAATTTGAAATAACTGCTGAACTGTGTATGCGTCGTCAAACGTTTTCAAGGACACTGGGGACCAGACCAACAATTCTACTTCGTCGCAGGCAAACCTCATAAAATTGAGAGCATACGTTGCCATAGCGTTTATATTTGTTAGCATTAGTACAAGAATGTTAATTATTAAACTACAACGGTATGGGCCGTGTTCAATGGTCTACCGTTCATAGCGTAACCATGATTGGCGTGTATTTTATTTTATTTATATATTTATTTCACTTTTACTATTTTTTTAATTATTATGTTTGTTTTTATGGTTTTGTTAAGTACTTGTAATTTAGTATTTTTTTTAACTATCGCTGCCTGTGTAACGAGATCTCTGACTGGTTTAGTCAACGAATCACATACCTTCAATAGTGCACCTGATGACATCACTGTTCAGAGCCAGGTCATAAACACACTCAAATAAAATGGCGGATTTTACCGATGATAGCGATGAAAATGATCGGTATGTTTATCATTGTCAAATGCAACGAAAATCATCTATGATTTTTATGTTTACATTGTGACTTAAATTGTACAAGTGTAGGTCGTTATTTTGCGCGCTTATTCCGGAAGTGACATATTTTCTCCACCTGTTCGACCGAAGACCGGTCCCTTTTCCCGGTCGATTGCCCTGGTATAGAGACCAGTGATGTTTTGTTGATGATCGGGCCAAAATTGTCTATGGCATTGAAGTCGTAGCTTTAAATATTCATCAAAATGTATCTACATAATGTAACTTTTTATTTAAGTAATTTAGCTGAAATAAAATGTTTCTTATTTGAACCATATTGCAATTGATCAGAAATTATTTAATTGATGCATTGTTTACTACAGCTGTTTAAAGTGTTATAACTCGTATTTACTTATTTACTTTTTTCCATTTTAGTTAAATATGCCCAGTGTTGAGGCGATGACTGAATAACGAACCTTGGCTGGCGAAGACGCAGCAGGAAGTGTACACATTTGTTGGAAATGAAAAAAAAAATA